TGAAGTAAACCGCTTAGGTGTGATGGGTTCTCTTGTCAGGCGAAAGTTCAAATGAAAAAGTCGATTAGCACATTATTCAATGGGAGCATACAATAATTCCGACCGATGGTACTAGCAAACTGGATAATTGTCCCGTATATCTCTGTCACATTTACTGGAACCCTAAAGTGAGCCAGATGAACTGGTTGTAGAGTGGCACAATTTTAAAACAGTTTTTCGATTAAGGTGTAAGTGGGGTAGTTGAGATACCGTTACCACATGCACAAAACTTCCGGAATGAAGTTCTGGATCGATTCCTGTCTAGTAAGCCAGTCAAGTCCCTGAATCCTCATCGGGTCGCTCAGTTGGAACCAAACTTGTCTGGTAGGATACGTGCTCTGAGAAAAATGTCGGCTGGCCACTCAATCCATTGTACGGACCAAAGACGCCTTCGCGGACGCTCCCTACAGTGCCGATCCACAGACCATGCATATGATAGTGCGCCTCTTGCCACTACACCTCTTCTACCCTCATGAAAGTTGTGTATTGCTCATATTTCTCCCATTTTTTATTTTTTTACACTCATACATATATTTCTGGAATGCCACATCGGCTCATTTATTCTTTTTTTTACTCGTTCGTTCTTAACTGTTTTTTACATTATTTTTGGTTTTTTACTTATAAGGCCATGTAATAATGTATAATAATCTAACTTTTACTTATTTTTTTAAGCTCGACTTTGCAATAATTATTTATTTCCCGTTGAGAATATTTAGAATTCGGTTCGATACTGTTCCACGAATGGGTTACGTTCTGTTGAAAGTTATTGGAAAAAGATGACGTAACCGTTATTCAACGTCTGTCTGCTCTGATAACCGAGTTTTTCCTTCGAAACCTTTCTACTCGGTCACACCATTGGGAACAGCGATTCAGAGGAAATATTGCAGTGAGCGCAGCCGGTTGGGACTCATCCTGATCGCTAAGTTTTGGGAGTCGCCCATTTCCGAGCTGCTCCCATATCGTTTCTTATAATCATTTGATACGGCTCGGCCTCGTTACCGTACTGTTGATAGTCACGTCTTCAGGAACTTTGAATGGCTTTGCTTCTCCTCACATACGTTTATTTATGTTTTTTNTTTTTTCAGGTGATGTATATAGGGATTATCAGTTTGTTGGCACTTGTCTTCATCACACACTCTCTACCTGAAAGGCCGAGTTTTCCTACAGTGAGTTAGTTTCTGAATCTCAAATAATAGGGTATCTCTGAAAGTTATTCAAGCGCCGAACCTTTTTTATACGTTAAACGACCTGTATGACTTAGTATGTGACAATTACGCGCGTACACGCGAAGCGGTTAGACTGGCAGCTGAGTTGTAATAAGTCCTCTATTACCGTGGACATGTGGGATGCACTTTCTTCCCTTTAGCTAATATTCCACCGTGTATTCGGCTAAGAATCAGATTTGTTAATCTGTAATAGAGCTCTCGCTTGCGTTGCGGTCGACTTTACGGTCATACGCTAACTGTGAACTTGACTTAGAGTACAAAGCGCCCCTTTCTGACCATAAACGCATTTTCAGTCGGCTTGTGGCGTGTGCCTGCGACCTCCGACCTTCATTTAAGCAGAAGCATGTACGTCATGTCGCTACAATCGCCCAACAAATTGTCAGCAAACTTTAAAAAATGTTTATTTGACGTAATTTTACGAGACACGATGCGATTTTCCATCAGAGCGCCATTAACTCGGGCGCAGCTCTTTTTCTGCTCTGTTCCAGTGCAGCTAACCCAAATACTGTGACAGCTTTTTAGTGTAGACCTCTTTTTTGGTATATGAGCATCCAAACTAGACCTGAGATATAAAAAGTTGTGCACTTCAATTCTTTACTTTTTCCTTTCTGTAATTACCCATAAGCAATTGTATTGTATCGTTTCAGGAAGAGCTCTGTGACCTTTACCGAGAAAAATGCGAAACGAAACTGAAAAAGCTCAACTGTAAAGCGCGGGCATTAGAATGTCTCGACTACGCGAATAATGGCTTGAGAATTACCTGGAACTTCTGTAAGTGCAATACATTTCCAAAAAACTTCGTATAATATCATTAGCAACGTGACTCCATAGATAGAAAACCATAGGACCAGTAGCGATCAATAATTCTCTCTAATGGTAAGAAGAGAGGTTTAATGTAGGGACGTGCCATGCTTTCACGCTTCATTTTAAACTGTGGAGGCTTTGACTACAAAATTAAGATGTCTCGGTTATTTTGATCGTGTTCCTCTATGGAGAACCCGAACATGCTGACTAAGCCCCTTTATTTCGGTGTTGGCTTATCTCCGCGTTAAATTTCCCCATTTTACTAAGCTTTTTTCCGCTGGCAACTCAGCCTTCTTTTCGCTCGCATCAGCGAAAAGTCCTCTCATAAACATCTCAAGATTGTTCAGCAAGCCTTAAAAATGCTGCCAGTGCTGACTCTATTAGCGCCTTCAGATCATCACCACTATGGAGGGTGCTGGTGGAGTCAGCACTAGTTTTGAAGTTGTTTTTGAGTGTAGTAATGTATCAGATTCTACTCGACTTCATACTGCCTTCTTTCGTCCATTTCATCACTTTCTTTGGAGGTCAAAAGCGTCGTATTCTGACCATATTTGCAGTTTTCACCACAGGTTTTGAACAGAAATCGTGCTCATATCGCAATCCAATTGTCTGCACCTATACTTCATCCTTCTCGTCTCCAATTATGGGAGAGGACGAGGTTTTGACTTGCACGCAGTTTGTGATTCAAACACCGGATTCGATTCCGCTTATGTTCAGTCACCCTCCGACGGTGGTTGTTTGGTCTGAATCAGATGGAAGCTATCTGCCAAAATGGAGCATCGGCAAGTGTAGGGCGTTGTGGGGACTCGGTAGGCATCTAGACGTTGCTCCTAAGTGGTAGTTGAGGTCATGGTGTATCTTGGAAGAAACTGGTCAACGCCAGACAGTTTGCTCTTTTTGTTTTTCATAGGTGATCAATGTTCTCGAGCCGTAACCTCTTAAAGACCAATTGTAAGAGTGAAACCGATTCACCCATCGATGCTCGTTTGATGAGGGCGCTGCTTTTTGTCATTTTGAAATTTACTGGTAAGAATTCTTCGAAATTACTCAACTTTATTGGAGTATTGTGTAACCGGTAAACATCGATGACGCTTTTATGAAGAAGCAGTAACAAAAACCTGTCACGCCGTTCACTGTGTCCTTCACGCGTGTATGCGGCAATTGCCTTTTTTGGACCGGCTTTATTTTTGGGTTCGTTTCACTTAAATGTGAAACAGNTCTTCATTCTCGTCAACATCTGTCGTTCAAAAGAATTCTTGTCGCTTTTTATGTGATTTTCACGAATGCGTAAGCGACAGGAATGATGATGTTATCGAATGTAACGATTACTGTGGAGAGACGAATTCCTTTTGACAACTATGAAAAGCAACAACTGTTCTCATTGATAGTTGAAAACTCCAAGCTGAGCGGGGTGCGCTGGCTGAGTGTACAATGAGTACCATAGCATCCGGCAAGTACAGATGTGACTAAAAGTCCCGGTAGAGTTCATCTGTTATGCCTGGAATGAACAGAAGGATTTTTTGCTTGCTAACAGCATAAAGCGACTGGATCTTACCATTAAATAGTCGTCTTGCTGCGCGGCATGCAGTCGGGGATTCCTAACCCACCGCCTTGCCTTCACTCCGGGTAATGCTGATGATAGGCATTACCCAATGTGAAATCAAAACGGGTAGCTAGGAATCTATCGCCAATTTCGACAAACACACTCCACAACAATGGAATTGGAATCGTATTCAGCATGAATAATGAAGAAGTACAAAGGAAGGTCGGTGGTAGGTCACTTGAAGGATACGCTATGCTTTTAGTTCACCCATTCTCGCAGTTCATTTTCTCGCACACGTAGTTCGTCACTGCAGGAGCTCAGCGGTTGTTTAAAAAAGGTTCGATTTGGCCATAAATTCAGTCTAAATGGATTCCTTCACCAGAGCGGTTATGAGTGGGGCTCCCAGCCCCACATGCCTTATTGTTAGTCTCTTGCGCTTTATAGGTTTTTCAGTCTATTAGGCTCTTATGAACGTCTTGAAGAGATTATGAGGTTACAGGTTCCCTGCCCTTTAACAGCGATCAGACCTGTTTATGTTGGGCTTTTCTGCCTTTCCCTACAAGTTATTTGTCGTTTAATTAATGATAATTTGCTCGAATAGGTACCAGTGACATCTCTTTTCGTCTCTGTGGCGAACCGTACTACGGTAGGCCCTTATCGCTTGTGGGACACGGGGCATATGTGTATCTCCTTTCGTTCAAAACTTTCGTGAAGAAGTCTGACCATCGTGATGGCGGTCGTCCTGGTGTTCGTTCGAAGTCCCGAGGGATCCGCTCAGCAACCGCCCGGGTCCAACGGTCATCGCGAAATCGCATAACATGTCCGGCTCACCTATTCTTTAATCTCTCGGCTTAAGCAACGGCGTCCCTGATCTTCGTTCGCTGACGGGGTTTACACCTGATTGCCCTCTGCACTTAGATGATCAGGAGAATACGGGCATAGTTTCCAGAAGGCGTGAAATGATGCTGTCTGCATCATTTAACTTCTATGGTGCATCCAATTCTTAGATATTGTCTAATGATAAGATTGTTCAGGATGCAAACAGTATATTTATCTTATTTAGGCAACTTCTTGAATAACGACAATGTGACGGTCTGCCGGGAACGTGCCATCACTGACTACGAAATCATCAAGGGGGCCATTATGAACGACACCTTCAAATATGATTTCGCTGATTGAGGAATTAGTTCCTGTATATACTGCTTGAATATATTTTATGAAATTGTTGATGCGCTAAGTTTTATATAGCTACAAGTTTGTTCCTTACTCCTGGATGGAATTAGTAATGACAGTTGGCGTGCGGTCGCGTTGCGTTTGATGAGTTCATTTGCTTTTTTGTAGATTGAATTTATGTACCAATTTATAATAGTTGTGCAAGACCACTTGAGCTATTTCNGAAATAGCTCAAGTGGTCTTGCACAACTATTATAAATTGGTACATAAATTCAATCTACAAAAAAGAACTGTCATGGAACTGTCATGCGTGACGGCCTTAATGTTAGGTGGTCCTGTCACGACCACCGGTACTGCAGAGGTGGCTCTGCCTTTCTGTAAGTGATCGGTGGGGAACATTTTCCATTAAATCGAGAGGCTACTTGTTCCGCTTGACGAGTCAGGAATAATTGAATTTGCCGCACGCGGTGACATTCAGCGCGGCAACCGCTATGGCATCTCCTGACCCATAGCTACCAAAAGCAAAATGAATGGCCAAAAACCACACGAGAAAACGGGTAGAGCGTCGGCAAAGTGCTGTTTAGCTCCCAAGCTGTTGACCAAATTACCAGCACCAAGTTGTTAGTAACAGTAACTGCCACCGTTTCACATTCCCATTATTACATCCCCGTTAAATTAACACCCAAACGACGAGAGCATTATGGACAGATAGTTGACAAAACAACAGAGCTCGTTATTATTGTGCAGTAACGCGACCGTATACCACATCACAAGCTCATTCTACACATTATGGAGGTCCTAGACGCTAGTTCAGATTCTGATTGGAGAAATTTCATTGAAATGGTGCTTTTGCGAAGATAGTAAACGTTTATTACATAAAAACCTCCAAAAACACGTAGTTCATTGAGGGATAAAAAAGAAAAGGAAAAGCCACTACATGCGATCGAGATAAGCATTACACAACTCTGAATTAATATTCAATACTAGCTCACACACATTCTTGTTCCCTATAAAAATGACTTTACACTGGTTCTTTCGATTTAGTATCTAGTAATCTTCGCGATTGTAAATTTCGATAATTATAGGAGGAGAAGAATGAAAATGACACTTTACGAAAACAAAGTATAGCAATAAGTCTATCACTAAATGAATATCATTAGAATTTTTTTATGCAAAAGCTAGATATGCCAAAGTTGTACAGCTATTCAACAGAATCTATTACCAACCAGAAACATAAAGGAAGCATAGCAAAACTCGCAAAACTAGACAATATTTTGGGTTTTCTTTTGTTAAAATATTCAAAATGGTATCATCGGCCTCAGCAGACTAGGTTTCTGTTGTTGTAAATAAACAAAGCCGAAAAGGACCATTCATAAAAAAGGACTGTTGTAGGAGATAGTTAAACGCCTGAACACCCTATACACTGGGAAACCTTTGCCTTTTCCCACATAAGCAAAGGCAGACATTTTTTGGGAGAGGACCATGAAAACTAAGTTACCCACTAGACGTAAGTATATGAGTAAAAGCATGAGCAATAGCATGCTATACAGTGTGCAGGCAGAAACAAAGGGCTGTCTACCGACCACCCTTGGTCAAAATTCCAAGGTAAAACCATTTCTTGAACAAGCACCTAGCCTTTCTCCCCAAGATTCAGTCGAAAGTATTATAAAGAGAATCTCCAATCTAGACTACAATCGATGAGAATGTAGAAAACCCCAATCCCTAACCTGATCCCTATAAATGATTCAAACGCAGCACTCACATATATTACCCATTTTGTACTGAACTGAGGCCTTTGATCCATGCTGACTGCATTAGACACTATCTTCTTACAGAAAATAAGCCGTATAAAATCATTCCAAGTTATAGGCCAAAGTATCAAGACCTTGAAGAGAAATTACCGGAAGCAGTTAATCTTCAAAGACATGAAATAAATTTGGCAAGCATATATTTCTCATAAGAAGCATGGAATTTAAATCTGCACAACTAGTGTAAATTCAGAAGCAACTGAAAATGTAAAACGTTTTACTTGTAACATTATCCGTGTAGCGCACCCGCTCACTCCAATTTCTGTTTGCCACGCCCTGGCGTTGCTGATTTCACAACGAAAATCTGCACAAAAAGCATTGATTGTCGAGCAACTTGAGGGTCCATTTTTGATGTATCCATTGTACAATGTAATGATGCGAACTCTGAAATGAGTTGATTGTATTAAGGATTACATGAAATGAACGACTTGGAACTGATTAAGCGATTAATCTGGTTATATGGGGAATATAAAAGTTATAATAAAGTTCAGTACCACAGCAAACAACTAAAATCCAGGCAAAAATTACACATAAAGACAATAAACCTATCCACTGTTACAGTAAGGAGTGAAAGAAGAAACGAAGAAAGCAAATGATCATAATATCAACTAACCTATGCCTTTTAACACCGAACTTTTACAAGGTATTCGCCATGCGTACAAATATCCATTATGTACTTCTCGGAAAACTGGCACTGTCGAGTAGACTTTGGAAAGCAATTGATCAGCAGTCACGCACAGTCTGCAATGAGTACTTACTCTTCTTACTTCGTTGATTTTTTGACTTTTCAATTAATCTATTAGACGCACTAAGCTGATTCAACAAACAATTCAGGCTACTATTGGACAAGAGAGATCATCTCTAGACAATGTTACATGTCCACTTACAAGGAGAAATAAGAGGTGATGGGGGTGAGGGAGGCAGGCCCAGCCTACTGAGGCAACCTGATAAACTTCCTATTTGTCTTTTGCTTCACGTGAAGAAAGTTAAACGGGGGACTTTCAACAAATAAAATGTAGTTCCTCAACGATGATAAACAAAATCGAACAACATTAATTTCCAGGAACTAGAATACTAACGTTGGCGCCTTCATCAGAGATAAAGCCTGTTTGTATGGCTCATATGACGCTTCGAACATTTCCATTCGAACAATGTGTGGATATGCAGCTGGCATCAAAGCATCTTGAGGTGTAAACGCTACTGGTAGCATGAAAACAACCTTAAATAATGGAAAATTTGAAATGTTCATTCACAGCGTTCTAAGTTTGAAAGCAATTGCTCACCAAATTATCGCCTTCAGTAACTTCACCGATCACATCAGGTCTCAGACCGATCAACAATCTTCTCTTAAAGAAAAACAAAATAAAATAAAGTATAAACTCGACGCAATCCGTAAGAATTCTTTCAAGAAATAAAAATAATTACAGGATCGCTCGATGGGTCTATTCCGCCGTCCGCTCCACCAGGTGGTAGAAAACGAATGGAATGTAGAGAGCTTGCAGCATTACCAAGCTGTAGCTTGCCTGAATTTTTACATAGATATTCCGACTTTCATTCAGCAAACTTCGCCAAGGCTTGGATACAATGAAGACAAACCTGCGCAGATCGCTTTCAGCCAAGTAACCATGATCCGTTCGAGAGCTTTCATTCGTGTTTGCAAAAAAGTACATACCTGCGACAATAAAATAGTAACGAAAACGTGACCGACAAGTTTTTGATGTTATAATGGATGCAAGGAAACCACAGTGAATGTACAATTGCCCTTTCCAACGTTGAAAATCACACACGAACAAGCCCTCAACAAAAATTCCTATAGGAAAGCGAGGTTGCGACTAAAACATAACCGCGTAAAAACAAAATTGTCACACCATCTATGTAACTATCAAATACAACATAGAAAATCATTCAACCAGGTGACTTTCTCCATCCATTTTCCACCTCCACATGAGAGCCCTTTCATTCAGGTACACAAAAAAAGCCTCCTGCCCCCTCCCCCTTCCGGGATGTGAAATGAAGGTTTCCAACCCTTGACCGTTAGATATGCAACACAGATTCGATGGTGTAACAGACGAAGTAAGTTAGAACAAGGCGATCAACTTTTCGCGTGGCCACACCATTTCCAGAACACCATAAAAAAGCATTAATTCAATGAACGGAGGCAAATCGATTACCTTTATGAAAGTATCGCTCTTGAGTTACCGCAATTGAATACACGGCACAATGANAGAAAATTTACAAAATGCAAAGTGTTTGGGTTATTTGAAAACTCCAAACCTCGCCGTTGTCGACATTAAACAGTTCAGATGGCACTTTCGGTAGAGACGGTTCCACTATAGACATGTCAGAGCCATACCACATGAATTGTCGAACCTGGCAAAATTCTCATAAAATAACAATGATACTATATGATCAGGGGTGATAACATTATTAAAGGGCAAAATGAACAATTGGCATTACAGTACACAAGAATTGGGGCACAGATACTAATTACGAATAGTAAATAGAAATAGAAGCAGGTCGGACTGTTACAAGCAGTAACAAGCGCTTTTTTCACTGAAAATTACTACAATGTAACCGTTGGCGTGAAAAAAAGAGCATGATATAAATCCTTAGAACAGAGGTAAACGAGACTTTCATGAAGTGATTGGTTGATTACGACAGGGTTACCAAAGTTAACACCTTATGAGAAACAATTACCCACCATGAGCACATTGTTCCGCTCTACGAGGTAGTGTATGGGAGCCTGCTTCGATTTATCAAACTCGTTGCATGGTGTACCTGAACAAGAGGAAAAGGATTTATTTGGTACGAACAAATAATTTTATTCCGATGGTTACAGCTTGTCTCTGTTGATCTATTTTACACAACGCTTTCTCTATTCCAATAAAAAAATTTTTAAAAAGAAATGTAACATGAATTTTTGAAAATCCATTGTGAGAAAATCCAGCACGTCTGTGTCTCCCTTTTGGTCTGGCCTCTGATCATACTTTCTGAATGAAAAGTTTCTTTAATGAAATAACTACCCAGGCTGGTTTAGCTCAAAATAGAGTCTAGTCCGAAGGTTAGCATAACCACGAATCACAAAGATTAACCAAACACTACAAAAAAGAATTATTGTCATATCATACCAACCAAAATGCAAGAGAAGGTAAGTCTGAGCTCACCGTGTTTCATTAAAACATTGAGCTGGCATGGCTGGCCGCTGATAACTGCAAAATGCACGGCTTGTCGTTGACACATGTTGGTCTTTTCCATGGTCACTTTACCACATTCGGACGGTGACAAAGAAGAGAGGATTAAATCGAGCATCCTGAAATTAATACAGTAACAGGGGAACAGGCAAATAAACATACAAAAGTTACCAAACCTGGGGTCTTTCAGGCATTGATCCAGTTTTACAACTCAACCCCCCCCCCCCCCCAAAATAAAGTTTACATCACTCTGATCCCAGCTCATAGATCTCATCACCTTTTGCTTTTACTGAATAAGAGACTGATGCTTGTTTACGTGCACAACAGTTGGTTTTCTACGCTGCCCGGTAAATTATGGAATATGACCACGATTTTAGCAAGAAGGAAAGGACTCCCAAATTAAATTGAAAAATTTTCACTCCAATTTCATGAAGCCACCTGCAGTAACCACATATATTTCGAATGGATAAATAAAAAAACTCACAAACACTGGCAATGCTTCTCCAAAAAACAAGGCTTTCGACCCGCATATTGTGAAGACAAATACATGACCACGTTTGTATTGTTTTGGGGATCCCTTGTCAAATTTACAATGCTCTACAAAAATGATAATATTATCGATTTATTAATGAACTTCGAAATAGATTTAGATGGAAGCAAACGAGAAAACAGCCAAATTGGTTTGAAGATATAAAGTTAATAGTCTGATCTAGCTAAACTTGGAACATATGCGTGACAAACAAACCTTCATAATGTGCTCTACAACTTGGCGAAGTCCTAGTATTCGGAAACGATTATTATGACAATCATAATCTCGCAATAGCTCACTAATAATCAGCATCCTTCGCCATACCTTTAAAAGCAAAGAACAGATCAGAAGAATACGTAGTAGAAATGAATGGAATGAATGAATTCATCCTTTGCAACTTCAGATGGAAAGGATGTATTTGATCACTAGGATCGAAAGAAGAAAAGCAAGTAGCGACAAAAGTTAGCTCAAAACAAACCTTGCGAATCTTGCCTTTCAAGACTAGCATCAACAACTTTCTAAGCCATTTATTCGAATAGACAGAATCGTTCATAGAGGCGATCTAAAACATGAATTACTTCATTCGCTAAGCTAGGCGAGGGCGACTTCTACTCTGCAGTTTACTTACAGTTTCCATTTTCACCGCCATATCTTCTAAGGCATCCCTCTCCACAAACAGTGCTCCAATGTGATTATGTTCTTGTAAATAGAACTAAAACGGTAATTTGTTGAACCTATTAACAGACAGCAATATCTGCTAACTCACATCTTGGTAACTTTCTCTCCAGTTTTCTTTGTGGGCTCCAACTAGATCAGAATAATAGGGAGGTCTGGTTATTCTGGCGCAAGCAATCTTTGGAAGCTGAATAATCACTATTTTGAAAGAAAACGGTAGATTAATGAATTATAGTACTAACATGATCGTACACCCCAGTGGCAGCGATCCCAAAACCAACGCATGCTCTGAGCTTCTCCTCTTGCTTAGCTATACGTATAGTTTCTGTTGGAGTTGAATTGGATGAATCCATTGATGCCACTAGACTAGCTGATCTGAAGGGAATCTTTACTATTTGTAAATACTAAAAACAACTGATTCTGAAAGTCGTAATCTACGTGGTCTGCTGAGAAGAGTTTTTCCCAAATTCCTATGAGCCACATCTAAACGAGCTATTAACTTTTTTCTGGTTACTGAGTGTTGAAGCTCGTTCTATCCGCAATTCAAGAGCGCTGTCCGTGGCCGTCCATTGACACAGCACAACCCTCCGACAATAATTGATGACTCTTTGGAACAAAAATCATTAGGATGAGGTCGAACGGTAGGTAATGAAGCAAAAGTGAATCCGAAACAAAAGATAAGCAATGAAGTATTCACTACCAACTTGTATATGATGTTTTAAATGGATGTATTGATGAATTATCCGATTTAAAGATAAAAGCAACAAACCCGTAGTGAACCGGTCCAAGGGTATGCTGACCACGACGCTGGTTACATCTAACCATTTCCCGTACACATCTTTCCTTTTCACATTCGAATAATGCTGACTGTCGGTTTGCTTCCCGATTTTCTACTTCTTTCTAAATGACAAGTACATGAATTCAAGGGAAGCACCACAAAGAGATTAAGGAATGGGATTTGTACTCGCATGAAGAAAATATAAGATGAATTGTTGTTAATACCTTCGCTGCTGCAGCTCTTTCGCGATCCTTTCTGTCTTTTTTCTCACGTTCTTTTCGTAGTTTTTCGACCCTCTTTTTCGTTTGAATCACAGCAGGTTTAGTAATCTCGTTATTGCAATTCTTGTTGTTTTCAACCGAAAGTACATTCTGGAATTATAATTTGCGAGAAATATCAACGATTATTAGGGTGTATAAGCGAAACCATAGCTTATAGACATGTCTGGAGACCGATGATTGAAAAAAAAAACTCAAACAAGGTCGTATGATTAGTATGCAAAAATAGTAAATCAATAAAAAAAATAGGAGAGTCTAACTAAACACTCACATTAAAATCATCTGCTAAACTTCTGAAACCATGAAGTCGTCGATACTCTTCAGCTGTCGAATTATCGGTTCGAATCGGTCGACGAAACTAAAACGTAATCAATATTTATGTCGACAGCCGCAGGTGATTATGAGAAATGTTTAACTTGAACTTTTCTTCATGAACAGTTGTAAATGAATTCCAGTATTTTACGTTCATAATACTTCCGACAACTTCCCGGAGATATAGACGGATCAAAAAAAAATGTTATATAGGGATCAAGATGCAGATTTAAATTAAATTTAGACCGTTTGTGCAAACTTAAAAGAAAAGAATGTTTGGTAAACAAAGGAGCATTTGGCAACCCCAGCATCATGAAACAAGGAAATTTGGATGGAAATTTTTTTCAAAGGATGAATGGCTCACTGAAAAACTGTAAAATTGAAAAATGTATGTTCTGAAAAATCAGAACTACCCCTGAGAGTTTCTAAAACCTTGACACTATTTTTAAATCGCCGTGAAGTTGTTGTGGGAAAGGTACTTTCAAGGTTGCCGTGGGCATGGGAAGAGATTTCACAGGAACAGACTATGTTCAACATCCAACAACAATAGATGGAAATAGTCCTGTCCGAATGGCCTACCGGGGAAAACCTACTACTTTGATGGGAATTTCCAGGAGTAAATTCAAAATCCAAAAAAAAAATCGTTAAAAGGTTTTTGAGAATAATAACGATGCCGCGCTGTTGACGTTGAAATGTCTCGTTGGAGGGCACGAATGAAAGAGTAAATAAACCCAGTCAAAGGTGCAGACTTCCTCGGGAGACAAACTCGAGAATCAGGGGTGAGGAACTATTGAAAATGAGGAGTACTGGTTGAAAAAAAGAATAAAGCTAGCATATTACGAATAATAGTTACCTTCTCTAAATCCGCCTTTACAACTTGTTCTTCTGCATTGGCCACATTTTCTGTGGGTACTGTCATGGTCCCTTTTGAGTCGCACAAAGTCCCTAGCCAACTGACCGCTTCGTCACTGTCTACACTACTGCTATTTGACGATGTGGATGTTGAGAACGTTGACGAATCAGTTAGCGAATTTCGTCGCTATAATATCATGCTTAAGGTTAGAATCGAATGAAAAATACAGAAAACAAAGGCCAACAGAAAATTTCCAAAAAGAAAAAAAAACGAAATCACCTTATCAGTTTTCTTTGTGTTGTCCTTATCCTCTATATCTGGTTTCTTCTTTCCTTTGCTTGGCTCAGGTAACATGACGGTTGAAAAATTACCCAAATCGAACTGAATACAATAGATTGTATGTAATTAGCTCATACAAATCCAAGAAGAAATTGCCAGAAATCAGAGGTTATTACAAATCGCGGTCTTAGCCAGTCATAGGTGGAACTCGTCCACCTAACCACGCCCACTGGCATAAGATGGAGCGCGATAAACTACGCCATATGGCTTGTTTTCTGGGGCGTTACTGAAGTTAGGAGGTAAACGTACCGTAACACCTTCCAAGATTGTCTGTTATCTTTAAGCTGCTCACATAGTTACCCTCTATTCAAAGAGTGAAGTCACTTGTTCGCTTCTTGGGCATAGTCAAGGGGTTCCAGGCTGAACCTCCGTTCCTAAAAGAGTTCTGCTTTGTCATGCAAGGCCCTATCCCGTTTCTTTCCAGCCGGAAAACTAGGTGACCTAAATCTCCCCGAGCCTCTCCGCCTTAAGCACCATAGGTTTATTTGATTTAGTGATCTCTACATAATAATTTGGACGAGTTTTTATTTGATTTAGTGATCTCTACATAATAATTTGGACGAGTTCAGCTCGGGATGTGATTCCCTGGAATGCACCCTTCAGCCAATGCTGCTCTCCCAAAGTAAAGCTTTTGGTCCAGGTACTGCTATAGCTATCACAAATCGGTAAATTGCTATTGATAACGTGGGTAGAGGTGGTGGCGCCAACCAAGCGGTGCGCTATCGCAAGCATGCTCCGGGGTAAAGCTCAGGATTGATAGACGCTCAGATCGACCAGGCTTTTCATCCCTTCGGGACCGCTAAATTGGTACAAGGCCTATGTGTATGGATGAAATACTGACCTGACCATCGGCTCGCCACCGCAAGTCGTTGTAGGGTGCCAAGTACGCATCCAAACGCCATCACGATTTACAGTGAACGTCGAGTGCACTCCCTCCAAACCCTGCCTATAGGCCATTCCCACCTGAGTCTTTAAATCCATTAAAAAGTTGCTAGTGAATATCTTTAAGCAGAAAAAGCTACACCGCTCACATAAGTCAGCCGAAGACACCTTTTCAAGTCTGTACGATATAAACCGAAAGCCTGATACACGGCTTAATCTGAAGATGGTGTAGAATACTCCATACTTCTCATTTCTCTACTTAAAGGATTGATCCTCTATTGGGATATTTGTTCTAGAGCAACAGAAAGGTGCTTTTTCTGAAAGCTCTGCACATTTGGTTGACCTTGTCGTAGAGAACGTTCACTAGGGAGATCCTCCCAGTGGGTGACTTACTTCATTTGAAGGTGATTGCCTAAAGTGTTCTCCCATTTGGCATGTCACTCTAAACAAAGCTGTTTGATGAAATGCCGGAGTCAACGTTGGTCTTTACCTGCTGTTAATGCTTCTCCCGTACTACAATGCTTTCAAAATTATCAGAGGAAGACAGCAACATGGCGTAACCAAGACGTACTTATTGCTCTGCTCTTTCCCCGAGATTTTTACAGTTCTCAAAAGCATAGTCGACAGTTTCCTCATTGTTGACGTAGTCACTGTTGGGCTCTGAATCATCGCTGGGACATTGCAGGAAACCTATTGAAGTTTGCAATCAATAGAAAACACAGTCGTTTTCCACCTGTTCATGTACCAGTAGTTAGGAAGTAGGAGATGAGTAATGCGACTGGCAGTGTCTGGGGAATATTGTAGGTTCAATTGAAGAAAATCTAGATCTGATGGACCCGGATAAAGGCCCAAAGTAGGAAGTAGAGCTTCTCTGAGAGTTATTTTACCACTTAACCCAACCCAGTTCAGCCCTCCCTAACAGGTATCTGGACCTATGGGCTAACCCGTAGTTAGGACAGGTTCTCCTGGCCCTTCTAGTTATGAGCTGACCACAAGTCGCTTGGTCCAGCCCCTTTGTAAGAGGGCGGAACTCCGTATTGTGCAACATCTCGTTGGCAATTCATAGTGACGACTGAATACATATTCAATTACCTCAGAAATCTTAGACAGTCACAGGTGGCGTGGCGTAATCAAAACAAGCTCATCAGCGCTTTGCCCTTTTGTACTTAAACCTCCTATCAGGAACTTATTTACTTCTGAGTGAACTTATGTCTTGACTGTGCCCACATGTGTGTCGCACGTTATTGTGGGCGTCTCGATCGACACTGATTGCGGTCTCGAACCAGTTCTCCTTCCCGCTTTGCCCGGCGCTCCCCTTCAACCCGGCTGGCTCCAACACGCCCCCTTCCTAAACACGGGGCTGATGCTGTACCATCACACCTATTTTCTTGCATTACTCTGTTTTTTACCACTTATCACTGCTAAGGTAACACTATTTATCTAAGCTGTTTTTTTTTAATTTTTTTTACAAAATCGATGCAAGTACAAACCAGTAAATAACTTTGGTAGAACTTAGACTGGGAGATAAGGTTTGCGGGTGCCCGGTCCACCTTAAGGCACCCTTCTTTCTGTGAATTTTCCAAAAAAAGGTGTAGGGTAAGTCATTTTTTCCTCAAGCTGCCCATAAAGTTATGAAGAGTCGAGAAAGGAGAGTGAGATAAGGGTGAGCTAGGAGAAGGAGAGGAAGAGATAGCTAGAGAGGGGTAGAGACTAGCGTACAAAGAAGCAGAGTGGAAAGGATATAGAGGAGGAGAAGGGCAGAGGAAAAAGTGAAGAAATTTAGCTTCTTCTAGAAGTTTATAAAGACTATGGGGTATAAGAATAGGCAGAAAGTCAAGCAAGTTCTAGAAATTACTGGTATGGAATACCGTAATCACCGAATTCCTCAGCAACATAGCAAACGTATTAAAAATGCAAGTACGAGAAGTTGTCGTGTTTAATGGTTCTTTTACATTAATCCCGACAACCTGTTATTCGTTACTTACAAAGGCCTTCCCATAAGCTTTACTGAACTATTTATACCAGTGTCCTTTCTCTCAACGTTCCAATATTGCTGATAAATGTGTTTCGCCTGCTTTCGGAAGCTCTCAAGTCCCCCAAAATCCGAGGATTTGAATGAACTGGGATGAGGACGTTCTTTGTGTGGTCAAGCTGGTATTCCGACTTTTCAGGAAACTTAATGAGTTCCTGATTACTGATTGAAGCACTGTTCCCGGAAATTCAGGCTTTTTCAGGGAAGATATAGGAGTGTGATTTCTATGAGCAATAAAGGATTAATCCTTCCATCAGAAAATTTCAGGTGTCATGCCCAGCAACGTCGAAAGGCCATGTTCTCGAATGCGCTTACGCATGTTGTCCTTCATTTGAGGGAGCTGATCAGGTTTGTTGAATCAATCGACGAATCACGTGTTCTGTTCCCATGGCTTTATAACTTCGTTGAAATCGTTTTTTGGGACATTTTGCAGCTAGCAGTGAATTGCAGGTAGAACTATGTTACTGCAACGATCTCAGGCAGCACTGAGCTTGTGAGCTCGATACAGGGGTCACAGCAGCTATAGATCGGCCCTTCATCAGACAGGTGTATCGATAAATCAAGGGCACCAGGGCTCACGCCAAGGACGGGTGGTCTGGGGCAACCACATAATTCACTTGAACTCAAGTTCCTTTAAAGCTTTTGGAGGTCTTGTCAGGGATTGCCAGGGGCGCACTTCCCATCACATTACCGTGGTACTGTCAAGCAGCTCCTAGAGGTCCTGACAGGTGTCGGGCAGGATCCCATTATTAGTTCAGGAATAACTCCTCCCGGGAGAAGG